CACATAATTCTTCTTTTCTATATTCTTCCTTATTTCGTTGTTGGCCACGACTAGACTGATCTCCTGTGGTGACGGATTACAGCTTCCAGATTATAAAAGACTTTGCCTATGCAAGACGCATTGCCACAAATTGACTGGCGTATAAAGGTGACATAATCGAATGATCCGCATGACGGACTGAGCTGAGCCTTCATGGCCCATAATACATGTACAAAAGCAGCTCAAAAAGAACAGAGCATATGATAAACAGGTGATGGCTCATATGCTACTATGCCACACCGGCACACGGCCAGTTATTGAATGGAAGTGCGAGGGAAACCTTTCGAGGGAATACCTTGCATGGAAGCAGGTCCTCTGGGGATGGTTCCACGAGTGGCCGTATTACTTTAACTGGACATCTGTTTAAATCTGCTTACGTTATTGTTCTTGGTTTTTAATTTCTTTAATGCCTTAATCCTGCCAATTAGTTTAGTACCTGTTTTGGATCCCTTGTAAACATCGTGAACAAACTGATTATATTTTTTTGCGATCCTGTTGTACACATTGATCAGACCACATAGTTGGACTGCACCTCGAATCACCGAGGAATATACCATTTATTTATTTATTTACTGCAATAAGCGATAGATCGCGAGCTCTCGATCACAATGCAAGATCGTTTTAACTTGGCGGATAAGGCTATTGGCGAATGCCCACACGCATTTCATTTTATTAAATTGTGTTAGTCGGTGGCTACATTACACGACCAAGCGGTGTGTTCGCAAATTTCAACCACTTGTATTTATACATGTTATCATATGAACATCTAGACTCTTTGACACACATCCCAATGCGAACACTATAGTAAGTCCACCAAAACGCTTTTCATCGTATTCTCATGTTTCTTGTCTCAGTTGTTTCCATCCCATCGGATTTGTTAAACCCTGCTTTTACCCGTAATACATCATGCCGTCTGAATAGTTTCTTAAAAAAGACAGGCATTGAGCTGATACAAGTAAAAAGGTTGTGACGATAATATAACCCCCCACCCGAAGAATATCGGAGAACTCTCACCGCCATGTCGTGTAAACTGGATATATCTCATGAAATAGTCTTTTAACGAGTAGACGATAGATGGTTAAAAGGCAGCAGCATTTAGACGCGTCGGAAATCTACCCCTCTCTTCATCTAAAACTTTCCTTCCAAAGGCCATACCTTTCTCTTCATTTGATTTTGATCTTTGTAGCTGCATGTCAGTAAGGATCGCGCCGAATATTTCGCCAACTGTTGCATGTCACAGGAACAATGACGTCACTTACAGTAGAAAAAAATCCACAGCACTTAAGCACCAGGACCGTGTCGTGAAATTTGGCCCTTCGGGGACAAACGGCTTATACAGCACAATAATCACGGTGAAAGTGCAACATAACTACCCTGTAGAAGCCTCAAGGTACATAACTAGACCGCTTCGATCAGTAGCGATACTACTGTATTCAAGAGATTCTTACTTTGCTTCGGTCAAACAAACCGGCGCTACCGAATATCAGCCAAACAACGTACAATGAACAATGAATTTATACGGGTTGAGAAGCGTTGCTTTACAAGTCCAGTAGGTGGGGATATCAACATAACAATAATGATAATAAGGATAGTATAATAGTTAATACTTTAAATTTAAAAATAAGGACTTTCGTTTGCTTCGCTGCAGTCCTGCGATCCTCTTAGATTCACAGCACCCACAGCTAAAAAAATAATTCCATGGTAAACTCCAGGTGTAGGATGGAGACGTAGTGTTAAGTAACAAAGTGTAAGTGGATGAGTGCATCGTCCAACCGTCTTTTAAATACTGTTCGTGTCGGTGCAGAGACGACCGATTCTGGCAGAGCATTCCACGGGTGACAGACACGAATGAAAAAAAATTTCTGTGACACTCCAGACGACTGTAGTGTTCTGCAAGTTTTAATGAGTGGCCCCTCAGGTTTGTATTGCTGCTGATTTGCAGTAAAGGGCGGCAAACATGATGTGGGTCTTGCGGAATCAAGTATGCCATAATCAGGTCGCCTCGTAGTCTGCGATAGCTTCCACTGAACAATCCCAGTCGTTGCAGCCTCTCCTGGTAGGAAAGATTGCCCATTCCAATTACGTTCTTAGATGCCCGGCGTTGCGGCTGCTCCAGTGCATTAACGTCGTGTTTCAGCCATGGATGCCAGGCCTGAATTGCATATTCGACATGGGGGCGAACATACGCACTGAGCATTTATCGAAATATGGAGCTGTTTATTTGTCCAAACGCCCGCCTCAACAGCCCAACGTGTTGGTTCCCGGTATTCGATGTCTTTTCGGATTGCCTGGAGCAACCCAAGTCATCTTGAACCAGGGCACCTAAGTCACGTTCGAGAGTTGATGGTTGCAGTACATCTGTTCCAAGTCGGTATCAGTAGCTGCTCTGATGTCGGATAGAAAGCACCTTGCACTTACTGACGTTGAAATGCAATAAGTTTTGGGTCGACCATTGATACACTGTATCTAAGTCACTTTGGAGCACATGTTGGTCGGCGTTCGCCTGGATCCTGCGCCAGATCTTGATATCGTCGGCAAACATTAGGAAGTTTGAAGCGATTCCTTGTGCAAGGTCATTAATAAACACCAAAAACAAACGTGTACCTAGAATTGAGCCTTGCGGCACACCACACTCAACTTGTTTGGGGTCCGATAAAGAGCTCCGAACTCTGACCACTAATTGCCGTTGAAGTAGAAAGTTGGCGATCCAGCTTAAAAGAGGGTCTCCGATCCCGTAATGCTGCAGCTTGGATAGTAGTATCCGATAGTCTAGACGATTGAAAGCCTTGGAAAAATCCAGGTAGATCACATCAACACCTTCTCCAGCGTCAGCTGCCTCGGTTCAACTACTGCGTGTAATTAGACGTAGACGAGGATATCCGTAGACATTCACTTATTTGGTCGTTAGTTTGCGGTAATCAAGCTGTTTGCCTCGTAACGTACATCAGTCTCATTCCTCTGATTGCACACTCTCATCATAGACTGTTACAAGTAATTAAAGAACATTGGTGCACTCATCCGAAGATCCCTTGAGTTCCGCAGGTATTCTTCTGACCCACGTTGAACCCCTACTACTTTGATTCAAGAATGGCCGGGTAGCAAACCCTTCGAGTGCAATGCTCCGTAAAACCTGCCCTGAGACAGAGTTTCTATAACTAACTTCCCATTAGACTTGTGGGCTACTCTCAATACCAACGTCAAAACAGCACCAACCGATTAGATCACGTGATAAGCGGTGAAATTAACGCGACGCATTGCACCCGTGCAGTGATGACATGGTCGTCCATAATTGACAATCGGATTAAATAGCCCTGGTCTCAATGCAACGTATACCGTCCGCAATCCGCGATCTCTTTCTCTATAGTAGGGGAAGAAGGATGCTCAGTTCGGACATCTGTAACCTAGTGATTCCATGGGTGAGTGTAAGTCCACAATGACGCAACTGTTACGTGTACGATGCTAGCTATACTTTGTAAACGGAGGCGGTAGGTATCAGAGTGTCGTGACAAACCTCACATGGTATATATATATATATATATATATATATATATATATGCAACAGTCTATCAATAGACATTAAGCCATCATAAACCATGGAACTCAAAACAAAGTACAGGAATAGTAAAAGAAAACACAAAAACATCAAAGTCCGTGATTTCGTCAGAGGGAGAGATACTACCTGGTTGCCAAAGCCGAAATAGAGTGTTGACTTAGAGGACACCTCCCCGAGCCTTTGGCTGAATTGCCTGCCCACAACGCAGCGGAGCGAATTCAGGGAATCGCGCCCATTGGGAACCGGTGACTAATTGCTCCGTTCATGTCTTCCCTTTGTTCCTTTGTCAAACAGGGGCCCAATGCTCCCTAGAATTACAGCATAAACTTGCTGGAATACAATGGTTTGCCAGGATGAAGCAAGGGGCAGTGACTTGATTTAGTGGCGAGTCACCTCCGCCATGTCACAGTGTTGTTAAACGGACATATGCGGCTTTTTATAGGGAGAACGCTTGCCAGGCGAAAACCCACCACGTCCTGGAACACTGTCGCCGAACCATTTGCTGGAACGGGAAAATCCCGAACCACCCAGCTGGCATCACGAGGAGGTTGTTCGGCAAGCCATGGTGACTGACCACAGATAAAATATGTGCGAATATCATCGTTCAGCAGTGTCGGACGCAGAAATTAGGGCCACTGAGAACGATGCACACAAAGCTCTTAGGTTTCTCGACGGTGGACCTATTGGTGGACGGCGCACTGAACACACGCAGGATTTAGTTGACTTACGACACCTATAGTGCCACTCCGCTCCTTCATCTTACGAACCGGGCGGCGGTTTGGTTTACTCTAGTCAAGCGAGAATAGCCGGATCGGGGAGGCTACACAGCCCTAAAGCAGCGGCATTTAATGGATCTGTGTCCGTAGGATAGGGTCTACATCCATGATGTCCTTGGGAGTTTCGAGGATGGGCTGAGAGTACTGCCCTCGGTAATCAGGAAGATCCACCTGCACCAACTGATGGACATTTGCTTCGTTTAGAAGTGACACAAAGCGAAACGCACCGATAGACGGATACGCTCCATTCGTTAGTTTGTTTGGCTGAGAATCGGCTATTTACGATTTCAGGATAAAGAGAAAATGAATTTAGCTATTACTGATGAGTAGGGGATTTCTGATGAAATTCTACTGATTTATGCCAGAAGTTCACAAGCCAGATAGTACGGTCGTTAATCCGAATATCACCAGACGGCCGTTTTCCCCTACTTGCTTATCAGTTGCTGGAAGGAATCGTAAAAAATCTGACAACACCTGAGTGAGCAATGGAAGTCTGAGATCCTCATGTTACTGAAGCCAACAAGGTGTTGTCCGATTTTGCGAGATTTGCATTAGGTCTTCGAATGACGCGATTGTGTACCTTGTGTACTAACTAAGGAAGTAAACTATTTTATTTGTTGGTTCTGTTGCAGGTGATGTGTGTCCAAGGTATATGGCGTGCAAACACCGCGTTTGCTCTGTTGCAGTTCGATTCGGAGGCTCTGGCTAATAGATGGAGGCAAAGTGATCCACAATTTCGACACAACGACTGGCTTGATGATCACGACATCTGGGTGCTACCTCTGAATCAGGAACTGAATGGTAAGCTGAACCATCCCATTTACCCGAATTTGGACAACGTAAGCGTCGCAACAAAATGCAAACACGTATACTTGAGTGCTTTAGATGATGCCAAATTAGTAAGCTTATACTGAGTTCAGAGAGGTTTGGAAACAATCGGTTGGTATAGTAGTTTGCTAACGTTTCGCCCTTGACACAAGGGCTTCGGCAGACCAGGTGAATCCGTGTGAAATTGGAGTGAGAGTTTATAGCGAACAGGGGCGATAACCGCGTTACCCAAGACTTGAACCAAAGTGTCATTACGGTAACAGTTCGTGATGTCACCTCAGGTGGTTCAATCACAGTGGGAATAGTCCAGGTATTCCTTTGTGCATCATGACATTGACGGATAAGTCCATAGTGTTGACAATGGGAGTCAATTTGCACTTTCCAACCTGATCCACGCACCGATGTTCGTCAGGCTGGCCAGCTTAAGATCGCTCGCCACGCATTAGGGAGTTCTACGTCCTCCATTCTATTCACACAGTCGTCAGATGTGGCGATTTCCACCGCCTAGGCAATCAACCGCTAAGGTGTTGATCGTATAACCCTCCTAATAACCATGCAATTAGTTGGGAGAATATCTTTAAGAGTTGTGGCGTGAACTGGTTATCTATCAATCAGTGCTTAGGAACAAGCGTAGTTTTCACTGAAACCCATATGTCTCTTGTTTAAAAATTGTCGCATTGTGTAAATTACTCACATGCTTCTCTATTTCCAACAATGTTCCATTATTTAGACAAGTTAGGACCGCTCACCGGGTGGCATAAAATGTGAGCAACGATTAGTGCATTTGCAGATGCAAACCACCTGTAACAAGTTTGGTCTGCACGAACTGCAATTTAAGCAGTGTTGTTTGTTAGGTGTTTAAGTGCGGTAGCATGCAAAGAAGCAGGCAGAACTCGTTGGAACAAAATTAATCGCACAGAAGGAAATTGATTGATTGTTCGTCCGGAGCGCGCATGTTCATTAGCAAGTAGGGTGGTACGTTTGTCACGATACTACCGACGCATATGGCTTCTCTTTCACCGTTTGAAATTAGCGACGAACGTTCCACATAACATCAAAACAATGTGTGCGAAACTGCTTAACGGGCGGATTCTAAGGCTACGGAACCGCAAAATCTGCTAAATTGTTCACTCTGTACACGAGTAGTCAGGGGGAGTTTCGTAATTTTAAACCGGAACCAAGTTCAAATGCGGAACATCTGAGATTCAGACGAAGGCGACAGAGCTCACAAGTGTCATTCTAAGTATTCTGTGGTTTGTTATTAAGACCCATTTTATTTAAACAACTCAACTTTTCTTGGGTGAGAGTAGGCAGGTGACCGAAAGGATTATGCGCTTGTTTGTAATCCGGAGGTCAATGGTTCGAATCCGCTTGGATATGGGCGACTTCGCGGTATACTCGGCTCTCACAGTACTGTTTCTGGTCGCGTGGCAGCGCCAAGTCAGTACGATGTGCAAGCGCACTGTTGATGTCTTCCTAGATAAGGACTCGTAGAGATCAGAAATTAGGCTAAATGTAAATAGAACTGTCAAGAAGAAAACAGTAACACATCGTGCCCTTTCACTTTAGTAGCACACGACTTTTAGCGCGAATATGACATGGTGCAACGACTTCATCGTTATTCATCGAAGGCAAATGTACATCACAATATGTGTCGTCTCGGCGAGCTTAGCTCGAGCAAGTACTCACAGGATTAACGATACTGTTTTTAAGCAACTATTCAGGTCTTTCATTGGACTAGTCACATGAGTTGCTGTTTACCGGTACCAACCGGTTGCGTATTGATGACGCCACAAGGAACATGTCAAAGCGGCGTGATCTTGCAAACGAAAGTCAGACGTGCACCATTTTTGCAAAGCACTTGAGAGACCCTAAGCCAGTATGGAACTTAAGGATGAGATGGCGATAGCTTCCGTCGTAGTGATTGGTTGAAGTAAAGGATATTGTACACGGTAGCCACAAGTCATCTAAGAGTTCAGTGGCAACTCTGCCATAGAGGTTTTATGGTTGGAAAGCATTAGCTGTCCCCGTATATTTTTGTTATCAGGTCTCCGCTGTCGGCTGGTGGCCAAGTAGTCTGCGCGCCTGGTTTGTAACCACAAGGTCCCCGGTTCGAATCCGCGTAGGGGTGGGTGTCTTAATAGTACAGGCAGTTCGCGCGGCAGCGAAGCTCCGTTACGGCGTTCAGCTGACACATTATTATTATTATGTATTCCGCTGTGTAAAGTCCAGTGTGACACACGGTCCCTGTTTGGACCAGGATTCATGCTTAAATCAGTCTTGATCATTTCGACTACAGGAACTATGTCTGAGGTATGTGCTTGTAGAAGGAAAAGATTAGTAGCACATCGCGCCGAGGTTCCGATGAAGAGCAACCAACCATAACCTCAAGGTGACATGCAGACTCGACGCCGTTTTTTCATCCGCTCGGTCACGGGCGTCTAAACGTTGCATATCTAACAACATCCTATTTCGCAGTGAAGTGCTTATACTGGACAATACGTAATCCCTAGTAGCATGTAGATAAAAGCGATTAGAGGAGCATCGAAGAACGAAATCACTGCTATTTTGCTTCAGATCTGTGACACTGGGCCCTTTCGGATTTCACTGTTGGCCGTGAAGCGGGACAAAAAGCATAAACACAATTGCACACCATTACTCTGATCCGTTCCACAATAGCCATATGTAAGTGCGTGGATGACTGTGATATGCTTACAATAAGAGGATGGTGTATGGCAGGTATATAAAGCAAATGCGTAACAAGAACCGTAGTATGGTCAGAATAAGAACCATAATATAATGAAAGGAAAATATAGTGATAAAATTGTGTTGGACTCACAAGTGTTCACACGGAGACATGTCCGGGGTGACAGGGAGGATTAGTGTCTCTGGTAGGGGACTTGCCTTACGCTCCAGGGTCGTCAGCCTATGTATGATCTTCATCTGTCCCCCAGCGCTCATCTGTGGCTCCAAGAAGCTGCCAGCACGCGGCAGCGGCCACACCCCGGTCAACTGTCAGGCAGATTGGCTAAACCAGGTGAGGGTAGCCGGGAACAATATATTCGGTGAGTTCGTACCCGCGTGCAACGTCAGTCCTGACAACTGGGGGGAAGAGATCGACCCCTGATCCAACGGCTAAAAGTTAAGACAACCGCCCAGATTCCTGCCGCCTTGCATGTAACACTTGACTGTGCAAAGGCTAGAGGTAAACCAACGAAGCAAAGCCGGATGAGGTTGGGGTCCTCATACGTACCCATAATCTCCATGAAACTTCATGACGCGATTCTTCTCATGCTACAGCGTTCCCGGTAGGCGAAGCGCTCTGCGCTAACCCAGAGGCCAGAGTGACAAGTAAGCTAGCTGGGTCCCTCAATCCCCGGAAGCCAATATTCATTGGATGCTGGAATATCAGAACCCTGTTTGATGTCAGTGGCCAAGCGTTGACAATGCGCACACTACATGACTACCAGATCTACATAGCACGCCTATCAGAATCTCAAATACCAGGCTATGGCTCCCGAAAAATCAAAGTCCCTGGTGTATACACCTCATACTAGCTTTAACACATTGGGCCGGAAGATAATTCTGGAAATGGTGTGGTCGCCAAAGCTCTCAGTGGCCAGGCATACTAGGCTCTCATTTCATGGAAGCCAGTATCAGCTAGAATAGCAGATGCTCGTTTCAATAATCACCCGATGAATCTGACCATAATCTCTGTCCACGCACCAACCATACCCTCAGCGGAAAGTGACAAAGACGAATTTCTACGGCACTTTACAGACAGTGGTGAAGCATACTCCAAAACGCGACATCTTTATTATTGTTGGGGACTGGAATGCACGAACCGGTCCTAGAAACGATTAAACCCGTCACATACTTGAAAGATACGTCCTTGGAGAGCGTTGTGATAATGGAGACCACTTGCTCAGCTTCGCGGACCTTAACCGGTTGTGCGTAACAAACACTCGTTTCCAGCATCCCAGAAAGCATCTTCTGATGTGATACTCCAACGATGGTCATACAGTAAGCCAGATAGATTACATCTTAATCCGATCCAGGTGGATGTCCTCCATAGACACGGTCGAGCGTACAGAGGGGCTGAAACAAGCAATAAAGGTGGTTCGAACCACGTACTCCTGCGCGCCAAATTCAGACACCGCTTGACAATGCGCCGAAAGACTCTTCCACCAAAGCGTATCAACACTGCCCCACTGGAAAATACTGACTGCTGCCGATCCCTTGAGGTAGTAATAGAAGCATAAATTTCTACCAGTGCACCATGCCTTGTAATTGTAGAAGATGAATCCGTAGACGCTCGTCGGTCTAAGCTAAAAGCGTCAGTTCAAGGCGCCGTTTAATCTACCCTGAGGTCTACCTCAGCCTGCGAAGGACTGGATCACTGAAGATACTATCCGCGAAAGCAAGAGAAGCACGTCTCACGAACTTCCCAGATTACCGTCGCTTGAGACGTGAGGTAGCCTGCTCAGCACGAAATGATCGCCACCGCTACTGGTCTGATATCGCAAGCAACATGGAAGCTGCATCAAATTCTGGCAATTCGGGTCATCTCGTTCGTCTCGTCCGTTTAGCTTCCGGCAAGTGCCATTCACTACAGTCAATATTGCGCAATTTGGGATGTCAAATCATCCCCGATACAGAAGGAAAAGTTTGCAGATGGGTAGAGTATTCTAACAACCTCCTAAACCGCCAAATACACAACTGCACCCATTTCAGCATTAGCCCAGCCACGATATGACGCGGATGGCTCACCGCCATGTCCCACAGAAATTGAAGACATCATTCGTCGCCTGAAGCCGAAGAAAACTACGGGAGCGGATGGGATTCCAGCAAAAATCTACAAATCCTGTCTACCAGCTCTCCTTGACCATTTGCACGAGCTCTTCAGTTCGATATGGGAGACCGAAAGTTGTCCTTCCTCGTGCAGTACCTCAGTACTAGTACCACTCCCAAAA